AATAACATATTTTACGAGTAAAGTATAACCTTTTCTAAAAGATCATCTAGCTTAAGATCCATTTCCAAGATGGCAGCATCCCGACCTTTATAATATAACGTAATAACAAAGGTACCTGGAATTGGAGATATGATATTGATATATATATTCTGTCGTCTAAATTCATACGATTAAATGAATTATAATAAATAAATACACTTTATTAAGATCAATAAAGAAAAATGAGAGAGATATATATATATAAATCATGAAAAATATAAACTCACCGATTTTCCGGAACACTGCTCTCCGTAATAATTCCATCTTTTTCTAATTGCGCATAAGTAAATTTATATGGGCCCAAAACTTTCATCTTTGCGGGCTTGTTCTCTTTATCTCCTACTTTAACCACACTCGTGATAGTGGGATCGGTCGAAGTCTGTTGCCTCACGTTTTGCAAATATGCTTTATAACTATCCAATTGATTCCTAAGGTAATTATTATGATCGCATATAGTCTTGTAAACTGCTTCGAGAGACCGAATTTCTTCAGTTATCTTTTCGCGAAGATTACCAAGATGTGCCAATTCTTGTGAAACTTCTTCTCTCATAAGTCGGTAATCATCTATACGATCTATAACCCGAGCTTCCTCAAGTTCACGAAGCATCTCTTTGACCTTTATTCCTTTACGAACTAAAGTAGCATCTTTGGTTGTTGCCGCCGTTTCGGCAATAATAGGTAAATTTATCTGTTTTTGTTCCGACATTCGTGGAATAGAACGAATGAGCTGTACGAAAATAGACTTGGTCTCCATATATAAAATATCATTTTGAGTAACACCATTATCAGACATGAGTGCTGAAGCAAGATCTGAAAAGATGATAGATATATGATAGGTAATTATTGTCAAGAAAGTAACAATCAAAAAAATGTGATGATACCTTGTATGGGAGTTTCCCATCGGCTAAATAAAGGAAGTTCTATTGTCCTATCTTCCTTCCTAGGTACCTGAGAAGGGGAAGGACCGATATCATCTAAAAGTATATGTAAATGACTTTTTTCTGATGGTGCCTGATGTAATTAGAATTAAAATTAAAATACAATTTTTTTTTAAAAGAAAGGATATCCCATAAAAAAAAAAATTTTATACCAAAATATCTTTATGTTGAATTAATAAGGCATGAGTATTGTATATTTCGTTTAACGTGATATTCAAAACCAGATCCTTTTTGGATAATGTGATGTATTGATCCATCTATAAATACATAAAGTTTTCGATAAGTTTACTTAATATTAATATTAATATTAATATTTTTTTTTTAAAAAAAAAAACAATGCTTAAATGCACAAAATTACCTCTAGACTTTCATAAAAATCTCCTACTTCGCACAAATCCATCAAAAATTTATTAATTCTCTGTTTATTACTCTCAACAAATGGGTTTAGCATGTTCATATATTCTTCTTTCGCATAAGAAGGTTTATTGGCAAGATTTTGTAACATTTTCGCAATCTGCAAAAAAAATAAAACTTGGTATTTAAGTAATTAATATAATAAATAATAAATAACAAAATAACCTATTTTACACACCAAAGTTAAGGTACGTCTTGGATTATGTCCAGGAATTCCTTCTATTATCATACAAGATTTCGGGGTTACTATAGCTGGATTTACGAACCGTAGAAAGAAAAATCCGCCAATTAATGAACAAATGGCAAATTCAGTAGCATTAGGATATTTCCGCTAACAGGGTCAATATTAATATTAATAATCAATGTTACTTAAATGATTATAATAATGACCAATAACTCAAGAATATTACCACTTACTTTAGTTAATGAACGAATTTGTTTGCAAATCCAGCGAATTCCATATGGAACTTGATCTATAGATTCCATGATTGTTTGAAGGAAAGAGTTTGCAATTTCCATAAGCATTGTTATACGTGGTGATACAGCAGATTGAACATCGGCATTTGCAGCCGCAACATCTGGCGTAACACCGCGTGGCAGTTCTGCCGGTAATGAACCAGTTTCTTCTTCAATTTTCTTTATCATTTGTTGATAAACCTGATATAATAAATTGCGACATTCCTTAACGATCAAGATAATAATGATGATAATGATGATAATTTTTTAACATATTTAACCTCATACTTTCAATGGATCGATTTCCAAATTTAGATCCTTAAGCTCAATTAAATTGTTTATCTGTTTTGAAAGAACTGATTTAAGATAACTTTGACCTGGCCCTCGCCGAGTATATGTTGTCATCATTCGAGAAACTGGTGTGTTTGCTCGAAGTAGGGAATTGAAATCTAATGTAGTCTCAAATTGTGCCGAAAGTACAGACTAAATTTTTTTTTTTAAAAAAAAGAGTAGCATGTATCATTAAATGAAAAAAAAAAATTAAATTACACAATACTAGATGAATACTTACCTGAAACATTGTCAATAATAAATGCTCTTCCCTACTTTCGTATTGATTTCCGTATATAGTAAACATAACTGTCTGTAACAAAGTATCAATTTCTGTGAGACTGACCAGACGACATAAAACTGCAATGTGTCGTGGTTCCGATTGGAGTAGAAAAAACAGATTTCCGTATTGTTGAATTTTACGATCATCCGGAAAAATACCATCTAATGAATCTGTGCTCTCAAATGTACTTTCCACTTCTTGTTTCTTTTTTTAAGAAAAATTTTTATGTCAACACCATGCTTTTATAAATATAAATATATATATATTTATTTATTTAATCTTTTAATCTAATTAAAATACCTCATCCAATGCAATTCGGTTCGCAATTAATAAAGCTATACGTGAATCCAGATATCGTACATCCCGTTCCAGAACGAAATTTTTTTTGGATTGTGTTGAAATTCGACTTTTTAATTCTCGTAATCGTTTTTGGGCTAGAAAAACGAAATGATTATAATATTAATCGGTGAATTCTTGAAATTGAGAATAAGAGGTTTTGTATTATAAAGAATTGAATTAAAGCTATGAAAAAAGAGAAGTGTACTGCTACTATATATTTCAAACCCTTTCCAAGCAATTTATTACATGCAATAACCGTATTGGTTAAGGGAAAAATTGTTGAGTAATTTTGATCATAAGATACTGTATATTTCTAAATTATCAAATGAATTTAACTCTAGTTAATTTTGAGGGATCCTTTCCAATCTTTGTAGTTACTCTACCTCTGGCCAAATCATCTTCGACTTCAACATCTTGTTCAGCGGCCATTGAATAGAGTGCATTAACGGAATACCTTTTACTAGAACGACTAACGGTGGTACCCGTTGTTGCCCTTCGATTAGAAGAGTCCCCATGTGAAGATCGTGTGATGGGGATTCCGTAAGTTGTCAATATCCTTTGTGATTCCATTCAAAAACAATTTTAATTAAATGCCGTATTACTTTTTAGGGGGGTTTTTTTTTTTTTTATCTATTATTAATTTATGGTTTTACATTGGTGTAATAAAAGTAGCTTTTATCCATAATTCTTTCCCAAGTGACAAGTGTCTCACAAATCTAATACTTAATACAATAAATAGGTACAGCAGTATTAAAGTTAGTGTAACCCACGCATTACCGTTTCATAACTTAAATAATTGGCCAAAAATCCTCGACAAGCATTTTTTTAAAAAAAATTTTTATTTGTTTCTTTGAAACTTTACTCGATTACTAACCCCTTTAGCAAATAAATTAGATAAATAAATAATTTAAGCATTTATTCCATTTATTCACCCTATATGCGTAAATGCAAAATTAATCATCGTGAAAAGGTCGATGGTTCAAATGATCACCAATCATATATTTTCCCGGATGGAAAAAGTTAATCTCGTGATTTCTTGGCTAGCATCAAGAAATTATAATATCGGCCAGATTTAACGATTGACCGGGACTCGGCCGATCACGTGATTTAGTGAATCAAATTTTGACATCATTGCGAAAAAAATAAAATTTTCAAAAAATGGTCTTCATAATATAGAACGAAATTTGCAAGTATCTAATTGAGACATTAGCTTTCTTCTCTGTCATTATTAAAATGAATGCCATTTTCCATAGTATTTAATAAGAACAATAAACGAAAAATGCGAAAGGTTTTAAAAAGTTAATTACTATTATCTTATGGACCAAAACCTGTGTTCAAGATCTACAAGGATGGTGCCATGTCACAACATTTGGTGCATTAAAATTATGTTAATGAACAAAAATCAACCCACTAACTGCTTTAAAATCCTCGATTTAAACAGGTTTTCGAATTTATCTTTTTATTTTAATAATTAGTATATTTGTAATTATAAATCTTTACATCATTAAAAGATAAAAAAATAATATGTTATATAGCTGACGAATTTTACTCTATCACCTGTGCTGCTATCAATAAACAAAATCGCAACGCGATGAATAAACCTACCAATGACCTAATGCGGCGTATTCTATGATAATCCATAACTTTGTACAGTACCATTATAAGCATTGTATTTCGTTAGCATTTATTGTAAACATATATTGCAACAGGAAAAAAAAAAAAAAATAAACAAATAAAGCAACGGTGTAGAATCCTCCTAGTATTTATTGTTCGTGTGCAAGAATGTTTATACAGTACTTCGCATTTATCGAGGTAATTTACCACAAATGTACACCATGGTGTAATAAAACCAAACCTATTTTTAACTAATCAAATCTAACTTTTTATTTGACATCAAATTGAACTTTATAAAGATTTTTTTTTTATGCTTATATGATTTTGCACAAATGAAGGATATGGACAATGATTTAAATCAATTTTTAAATTTTAAAAAAAAAAAAAAAAGTTACAAAAAACGTGTCGAAAACTTTTAATCTTCAAATCTAATTTTTGTAGGTTTCAAGCTATGATCAACTTCCTTATAAAAAGCACCATATGCTTTATGTTCCTTCTTTTTAACGGTACTACCAAATTTTAATAAGGATTCTGGTACCTTTTGATTGGCTTGACGTAGAACATTGATGAGTTCTCCAGAATGTGCTTTATCATGTGGAGTAAAAAGAGTATGAGATATACCCTGTAAATGAGAAATATTCATATAAGTAGGATATTTTTTAATTGAGATGAATTAATACTCATTTACCTTACAACCAGCGCGTCCAGTTCTACCAATCCGATGAACATAATCTTCTATAGTCAACGGGAAAGTATAATTAATCACATATTCCACATCGGGAATATCTATACCTCTAGCAGCGACATCCGTAGCTATCAAAAGAGGGTAAATTCCATCTTTGAAAGCATTCAATGCTTCCGTGCGTTGGAATTGACTTTTATCCCCATGAATCGACAGTACTTCAAACCCCTTACGTGCCAACATATTTTCGACACGTGAAGCTTCTTTTTTGTAAAGAACGAATACCAAAATTCTATTCTTATTAATGTGATATTGTTCGAGAAGATTTAACAAACGACGTTCCTTATCCGTGGTATTATCAATTACTTCAACAATCTGCGTGACATTGCTATTTGCTGATAAATTGGGAGAACCAATTGTAACTTTCATGGGCTTATTCAAGAAATCATTAGCCAATTTACGTACAGATTCAGGCCACGTTGCAGAAAACATGACAGTTTGTCGATCCTTATGGGTCTTGACAATGATCTGTCGAATTTCCTTTTCAAAACCCTCATCAAGCATACGATCCGCTATATATAAAAATATGTAAGGAAATAATTGTTTAAAAAATGAATTAGAAGCAAATTCAAAATTTTATTCACCTTCGTCCAATACAAGATAAGAGACGTTGCTAATATCGCAAATACCCTCGTTAATCAAATCAATCAAACGACCAGGAGTCGCAACCGCAATATGAACACCTTTACGTAACGCTTTACGTTGTTCTTCTTTGGGAACACCACCATAAATACAGACACTTTTAATACCGCAAATTGAATCAAATTTTTTACATTGTTCTTGTGTTTGCATTGCCAATTCACGAGTTGGCGCAATTACGAGAATCGATGGTTTATTGTTCGGTGGTACGTGAAATAGGTTTTTGATACGTTTCAAAGCTGGTACGGTAAACGCAAGAGTCTTTCCAGAACTAATAAATGATAATATTAAAAATTCAATATCTTCTTTTTTTTTTTTAAAAAAAAAAAAAAATACATCAAGTACTAACCCAGTTTCAGCGATACCAATAACATCCCTTCCACTTAAACAAATCGGCCAACAACTTGCTTGAATAGGCGTCGGCTTTTCGAATTTATTCAAAACGATTTTGATACTTTCGTCTATTTCCAATTGTGTAAATGACATGATCGGTTTAAAGATTAAATCACCAGTGATTTGAATTTCATTTTTTTTATAAAATTCGTCGACACTAGATTGTGAAATTATTTCCATTTTCGATACAGAATCATCGTCACTAATAGTCTTTGATGTGTCGGTTTCTTCAGATTGATCTTCATTTTTCTTGCTTTTCTTGTTTTTCGCAATTTTCTCCTCATCTTTCTTCATTTTAATTTTCTTTGTTTTTATATTATTTTCGGATGAATTGCCATCATCATCCACTTTTTTGTTTTTTCTTTTATTATCATTTTTTTTAGTATTAGACTCCTCTTGTTCATTCCTTTTCCTTTTCTTTTGCTTTTTTGACTTTTTCGTATCAGCTTTATCACTAGATTTTATTTTAGAATTTTTGTCTAATTTATCATTTACTTGAGTCTTATGATTTGCAACTTTTTCACGTCTTTTAGCTTTTTTTATAAAAATTTCTTTATCCGAATCCATTTTCAGAATAAAACCATTCCGATTCTGATGAAATTTTTTTTTAAAAAAAATTATGAATGACTGTGGCACATCATAACCAATATTCGCCCATTGGCTGATTATGATTATTTGTCACGACTATGCGTGACGAATAAACATCACCTCTAATAAAAATTGAAACATCACCAGTGTCACCCCGGTGACAAAACACCTAGCCCAAATCTCGATTATACCAGCAAATGGGAAACTGGGATCGAAAGTAAATCTGATCAGAACTTCAATATATTTAATAATAATTTAGTAAGTAGCATTACAAAATTATTTACGAAATGAGAAGAAAATCTCAAAAAACTATTAAAAGTAATCTAATAGACAGATGCTTGTTATTATTTTTAATATTTATTGTTTATTTTGTAAATTAAATTTACAACCGAACCATTGATCTCCTCCCGCCATGTTCGATATTAAAATGCATTTTCGCTGATCCAGAAAAGAATGGTAAACTTAATTATAAATAAATGATATTTTGTTCCGTTATTGTTAAAAAAAATCATGCGAAGAAAAAGCTCTTCTTGATTTAAATAAATTAACATGTCAATTTTAGGATTATTTTCTTTTTGAAATATTCTTTTGGAAATATATAGGTGCATCATTCAAGGAAATGCAAACAATGGTTTTTGAAGAGACATGTGTAACATGTCATTTTATCATGACAATTGTCCTGCAATACTTAGTAAAAGACATGCATGATTTGTATTTATCCACCATCTTTCCCACCCTACGTGAATTACACAGTTATTTTTTCACCTTTATTATATATATGGTGCCGGAAGTCTTAACTCAAAAATAAAATTGTACCACTTGAAAATCTTTCAAAATTTTAAAAAAATAAACCGGTAACTTTATTCTTTATGATGAATACTATTAAATTACCGGCCAGTTTTTCAAAAAACTGCCTACATAAAAAGTTATAGCGGTTTAAATTCGGATGATTTTCATATGATCGGCTCATTTTTGAAACAAATCGTATCACGTGAAAGTGATTTTATTGGTCAAAAATTTTTATAATTCGGGCCAACACTATAGCAATTTAATGCTGGCCTGAATTATCATAATTAAATAAACTCGGATTTTTTTTTGGATTTGATAAATTTTTTTGATTTTTTTTTGATTTTTTTTTAAGATTTTTTTTTTTTGAAATCTGATCATACTTTTATGATGCCACGCAAGACAAAGAGACAACAACAGATCAGCAAAATACCTAGAAAAAAAGGACGCTATATGTCTTAAGAACAAAATACTACAATTATAGATGAAAACATTGAATCAAGCGAAGCAGAAGATGAAGTGGATTGGATAGAAAGTGAATCAGATTGGATGGAAAATGAAGTTAATAAGGAATGGACGGAAGGTGAGTTAAGAGAATTTGAAGAAATAGAACAAAAACTCATCAATGAGACACTTAGTTGAAAAAAAGAAGCTGTAAATAAGATTAGAGCTGTATATCCTGGAAATTCAAGAACGACAAAATGGAGACAAAAACAAACAAATATAAAGTTAGAAGAGCATGCAAAGGGCATAAAAAAATTGACACCTTTTTCCAACTGGTTTCTGAAAGTATTGGCATGTCAAATAAATCATCATCATCATCATCATCATATCTAATTATACAAAATCTGCCTTCATTACCTATTGATACTACAATAGACCTATATGTACGCTTAGAAGAGATTAATAAATTATGCTCAATAGGAAAGTCTACAAAAGATAATCGCAATACATTTACATATGATTATA